TGCAGTCTCCCCACCGCTGCACTGCCTGCAGTCTCCCCACCGCTGCACTGCCTGCAGTCTGGAGTCATGAGCAGCAGGTTTTTCCCACAGGCAAGGCCCCAAACCCCCTCCCTCTCTACTGCCCTTTGTTTCTGCTCTCACACTGGCAAGGCCTTGCTCCAGCCCATCTCCTAGGGGTGACATGGAGCCAGATGCATACGGCCCTCGCCAGTAATATCCAGGCCTTTTCCTCCCTCTTCCCTGAAACTACAGGGCTGGCAGCGGTGTGTCTGCTTTCCAAGTCACTGGAGCACACGCTGATCACAATGCCAGCTTCATGCCAGGGCCTCACCAGCCTGGCGTCCCCTCCAGTCAGGCGCCCCCACCAGCCCAGGGGTCCGCCAGCCCAGTGCCCCCCCCACCACCCTGGGGACCCACCAGCCCAGCATTCCCTCCAGCCAGGTGCCCCCTCCAGCCCAGAGCTCCTCCACCCCAGCGCCCCACCAACCCAGTGCCTCCTCCAGCCTGGCTCCCCCTCCCAGCCTGGCGGTCCCCTCTGATGCCCCAACAGGCCCAGCGCCCCCACCAGCCCAACACTCCCGCCAGCTGGGTGTCCTTTCCAGCCTGGCGCCCCCACCAGCCCAGTGCCCCCTCCAGCCCAGTGCCTCTCCGAGCCTGGTGCCCCCCACCAGTGTGACAAGTCATGGGTTCCCCACTTCAAGGCCCATATTTTTTTTTCTTAGCTGGGGTCATGGTAGCTGTCGTACCACTGCACTAAGTGCGTCTTTTTCTGTAGTTCTGATGCTGACGTCTTACCCATTCCTCCGCCCCAACCACCCAGATCCGTGGAGTGGCCCCCACTCTGTGGATAAAAGAACTTTCTTCCTACAAGACAGGACAGTCTTTCCTGCGTCTGTGTGTTACCCTCCCTGATTACAACAAATTCTAGGCTCATTTAAAAAAGACACAGGCCCCAAATTTAGGAGGCTGCAGCCCAAACCCCCTGCAGCCAGCATCCCACGTCTCTGCTGCAGTTTATGGCAAGACCCTGGAGACCTGGTGAGAGCACAGCCCCCGTGTCCTCCTCCCCGGCCCCCTCATCCCCGCTGTCAGGTGTGCAGCCCCCACTCCAAGTGTGATCTTCAGCCCCGGCCCTGTCCCTCAGCAACACAGGTGACGACTCCTCCATCCAGAAGCACCACCAAGACCCTCCACTTGACCGCACCCCCACTTGCCAGCCATCCCCTCCATCCCCTCTGCCCTGCCTGTGCTTCCTATCACTGTGCGGGCCCAGGCTCAGGCCTCAGTCTTAGGCCCCTCACCAGCCTCGGGCTCACCGCACCCTGGGGCCCTGCCCTGCCCTCCCACCCGGCTGAGCCCACCCACACCCTGGGTTCTCACATTCCATTCTCCAGCCCCAAATTCCAGGTTCATGCAGCCAACTGCCCAACTGACACCCACTAAGATGCCAAGATTGTTAGCAGGTCAGAGCCAGGCTACCAAGCAGCAGTGCCCACCCCAGCCTGCCCAGCTCTCAAACCACCAACCATGGGCCCAGCCACCACAGCTGTTTACATCACACCCACAACCAAGACGGTGGCCAATCCTGTGCCCCAATGGGCCAGAACCCACCTCCTGAGCCAGAACCTCCCCACCAGCGGATGGGGACAAAGCCTGGGCCCTGCCTACCCTCAGCGTGTGCCCCTCTCGCGGCTGAGCCCCAGCAGGCACCCATGTCCTCCTCATAGAGGAAAGTAAGTACTTTCCTGTAAGGTGTTTGCTATTCCCTCCAGGACATGGCCATGGGGCCCCTCAGAATGGCACGTATAAGGCACCACGTGACTCCAGGTAGAATGACTGAGTGAGGGACCAGCCCAGCACAGCCAGGCAGGAACAGGCAAGCCAGGCAGCGAGAGGCCGTGCAGGACACCCTCCGACCACTTTGAGGACAGAGATAGCTGCAGAGCCAGTG